CAAATTAAAAAGTTTCTGCCGGAAAATGTTAGATGACCGACACGACTCTATTGTTAAAAGAGGAGTATGATGTACAGAGACAAGCCACTACTAATTTGAGGTGGAGAGCATATATTTTAGATTAAATAAATTAAAAATATAATTAAAAATTGCATCCCGGTTTAAACTAAAATCAATTTTAATGAAAATGTTTCAAACTCATTCTAAATAATTTAAAATCTATAAATATGAATTAATATAGAAAAAAGTAAGCGTAAAAAGACTATAATTAATAGTAAAACTCAATTAAAATGTAGACTACTAGAAATTAAAAGTGCATTCGTTTTATTCGATTAACGTACACTATGACATCAATTTGACGTCTTTCTTGTTAGTTTTCTTAACAAAAAGTGTGCTAATGACGTCAACTTGACGTAAAAGTGTACATTATTTAAGAAAAGCGAATACGCCTTTCATTGTTCGAGAATGTTGAAAGAGTTACCTTTTATTAGTTAATTAAATATGTACCAATGAGCGCGTTGCCTGGTAAAGCATCTTTAATACAGTTGGATAAATAAGCCAATGACCTAGCCCGTTTCATTTGAAACGGATTATGTCATTGGTTTGCTTATTCAGCTATATTAAAGCCATTTTATTAGGCAACGCACACAATATCACTAGAACTTTAATATTCCGATAACACGATTCTATTGGTTAGCAATTATTTAAATCAACCAATAAATGATATCTAAGTATTCTAGAAAACAAAATCTAGAATAATTTAAGTTCTGTAATACCTGTAATTGTAAATTAATAGTTAAGATTTAAAAGAAAGCATTAATAAAATATAATTAATAGTAAAATCTTAATAAAACTATACTAGAAACCAAATACTTTAGAATCTGCAAAATCTACTTTTATTGGTTAATTAAATTTTTAAATTGACCAATAAAAAGAATCTTAAGAATTTTTGAATGTCAAATCTAGGCATTTTCAAGGAGAAAGTGTATTAATGAAATAAATAAACAAATTATTTAATATTTAGAATTTTGAGCATTAATAAACTAAAATTAATAACAACATTCAATCAAAACGTACTAAAAATTAAGCTGTTCTAGAATTTTGTAAGATTCGCTGTTATTGGTTAATTTATTTTTAAATTGACTAATCATTAATATCGCTAACGTAACTTCGTATCGATTAAGCATTAAAAAAAGTAACTAAATACAGATTTATGGTATCAGAAGTAAATTAAAATATCAAATATTTGAATTTTAAAACATTTTAAGCTAGCGACATACTTTTTAATGTTTAAAAATACAATGAAATAGGTTACAACCGAAACCATCGATAATAAATTGAAGACTATTCGACTTTGACCCATAAATTTGATATAAATCGTATAAACATACAAAATTATACGACATATTTATTATTATTTAAATTTATATATTAAGAAATTCTTCAAAATAATGAATAATTAAAGTTAAAAAAAAAATAAATAATATATTTATATTTGACATTTACGTCCACCAGACGGTGTCGTGTAGTTGTAAACACGTGTGGCGGTTGATTCGATTTGAAACAAGCGTAAACGTTATATTCAAGTAAGAATTTGATTTCTTATACTCTTATAATGCAATGTTTTGTATAGATTATTGCTCTAAATTTCTTAGAATATGAAATATAGGCTCAAGTTATTGTGTCAGGGCGCGGTATCGAATGAACAAATGTATAAAATTGGTTATCTGATCACATGTTTTACTGATAATGCCAATTGTGTAATGCTTTAAAAGAAAAAAAAAAAACAAAAATATACAGCGATCACGTTCAAAACATGAAGCACTCATTCATTACATGACATACTGTAACGTGCCATAACTTAATAAGTAGATTTACAACCCACGCCTTTGGTTGAAGGCATGATTCTTTTGATAAATTTTATCAAATTTCTCAAGATCTGTAACGATTCATGACGTAAATCATTGAAAAAATCGAAATAGACTAACATTGAAATTATAAAATGGAAATTTGTCCTTCATAAGAATGTTCAAATGAGTTTACAGTATAAGTTACTTTTAGTTAAATGTTAAGGTATATATGTATATACAAATTATCTAAAAGTAACAACCCCATATGTTTGTATTGAGGAGACAATTTTGTTGAAAAATACAATAAAAAAAATCCTAGAATTTTAATGATTATGACATTAATAGTTTCATAGATATATTATTCATGCAAACGACTTAATGTCTCGTGATTTGAATGTTAATCTACGAGAGATTTTTAAAATATTAGTAACATTATGCTAAATAGCCGGAGATAAATGCAGAAGAATACTGTGATAAATAATAAGGACAAAGTTATGAGACATTTACATTTTATAAAATAATAAATTATATAATTTTCTGTACAGGATGATTACTATTCTAAGAATTATATGCTAAATATAAGAGTATTTAATCTGATATTTAATATGTTAGATACATTAGAAGGCTAAAAAGATGTTGTATTTATTGATTTTAATAAAGTAAAATCTATTTAAAAAGTAATGAGAAATTAGAATTTAAAAGAGATATTACATAATCGGAATGATTTAATGGCATTTCTTGATTGTAAACATAAAAAATAGGCTGACTACGATTTGATTGCATTGTCATAAATTGTGATTAGAATGGTTTCTTACAAAACTAGCGCTTATTCATCATGTTATTGAACTTATTTGTAAATTAGAAGACTTGTTTTTTTTCTTACAAAGGGAGAGGCAAGGACGAATTAACAGTATTAAGTAGGCCACGCAAAATGCCATGACAAAAAATCGTAAAAATTAATCCGATATTTTAAAAAATGTTCGTTTGAGAAATTAAATAAAATTTAATTTAAAGTTACATTCAAATCTGTATAGATGTTTTATTTATTAATAATGTCNTCATTGCTGACAACTATTGTAGATTTTAAATTAATAAATTAAAAACTTTTTATCTTCTTTCAATATATTCTGAAAATATTCTTTGCATCTCTGTGACAGCCAACCAGGAAATGTCCTTGAATCTCAATAAAGAAACTAGTTCAGCCATATCTTATGTTCAAACAGTGCTGTATTCTTATTGTATTAAAACTATTATTTTCAATATCCATTATTCAACTACTAGATAATCATTTATTAATTTTGTATAGCAAATTTTATCACTCAACATTCTTCAAAAATATTTAAATAAATCTTTCAATGTTATTTCAATTTTTGTTGTTACATATACTAATTTTGGGAGCATACAAATGATTCAGATGACACTCATTGTTTCCAACTTACATTAAGGATAAACTAATAGGTATTTTGTTTCCTGCATAGAGTATAAATGTTACGGAAGTAAAATTCAGGAAATAACTAGAAGTAAATCTTTAAAAATAATGCAAAGAAGTCAATTCCAATTTGATGATTTTGGCAATAGAACACATTTTGACCAGGGAAAAAGATTATTGGACGATAGTTTTGGCAACACAGATGAATGCTAGAATAGACTAAACAAAAATCTGTCTTGAGCATTCTTAACTTTTAGTGATAAGAACTGTATATGGTACATGTATCCAAGATTCTAAATAAAACTTAAATATAAAATTTCATTACCAAAATTAATAGAAACAAAGATGAAAAAAGGGGGGAAAAGCATCATCAGTGCATTTGTAATGTTTAAAAATTAGATAATTGGATTATTTTTAATTAATCTGTAGAAATTGTTTAAATAATCATTATAAATTTTCCAAATCTTATCTCATAGCCACACTTATCAGCTTGTTTCCAAGTATCATTAATTTTAAAGCTAACCAAATGTAATATGTAGTAATTCTTATTTGTTTAATACATTAAACAAATAAGAGAATTACCTTATATAGTTTAAAATATTTCTAAATCAGTTTTATTATTACCAATTCTATACATTTGACAGAATAAATTGTCAATAGAGTTACATTAAAGAATGGAATTTTACTTTCATTGTTTAAAATGGGAGGGGAAAAAAAAATTGTAAAATTTAAATTCTGGCTTTTAATATAAATGACTACATTTTATGTTATTGTGAACTTTGTAACAAGTACAAGTGCTGATTTATGCAAGAAAATAGTTCTGCAATGCATTTGAATAATGTTTGTTATTAAAAAAGTTTTTAAAAGATAATAATTGAATATAACATTTACAAATACATTATATAATCCTCTACAAGAATTTAAACTTACGTGGGATTGCACGCGACATATTTATATCCTTACCGATGACTAACACCGTTATTTATCATCACATTTTATGTTTTAATGCCTTTATAGTACACGAACGAGGCAGCCGAAGTCTTTTCGGTGAATCCAACCTCTCATTCAGAACTGTAATTTTACTCTTTACACAGTGGCATGTTATAACTTCACGAGGCCCTGGTAAATATGAATTAGGGCCCCACATAGGTGTTGACTTCAGAGATTTTTCTTTGGGGGAAAATGGGGCCTTCTCTAAACGGGGGGCTCCAAACCAAGATTGGTTTGAGGCACCGCGTTATCCTATGGGTAATATATAAGGGGGGGCAAACCAATCTATTATTTGCCCTCATATATTGCCCATAGAATGACGCGCCACCAAGTTTACAGTTAAAAATAATGCGATTTAAACGTTTATAGTCGAGTAAATAGCAACTGTCAAGCCTTTATAACGTCAAATAAATGATATATAAGGTTATAAACAAAGCAACGGAAACGTTACTTACCTAACGAATTGCGATTGTTCGAGTTTGATATATCGGGATCGTCAAAATCAAATATTAAACCATCGTTATCATAACCAGGATAAGACCTTTCAAATATGATACTCGTCATCTTCTCAAGTGTCAAATTAATGACTAAACTTCCTCCAAGCGACAGACGAAACTGTAAGTCACGTTGCGATACCAAACGATAAAGTTATGGCGACACTACGCCATCTGCCGACCTAAATCGTGTAGAGTTACGCAATAACGGAAGCAGACGACCGGTTTTTTTTATATTTTTTTTATTTTATTTGTTTGTTTATTTCACGAGTTCGTATTTATTTTCTAAAAAAATTATAAGATATTATTACTGTTATTTTTAAATTATAATTTTATAAATAACTCGGATATAAAAAAAAGCTCATCACGTAAAAAAAAATATTTTTGTTAAAAGTTATAAATTTCGTGTATTTTTAGTTATAAAATTAATAATAATAAACTTAAAAAAATTAATTTATAATAATTAAAATTTATTACGTTTTAAATTTATAAATATAATAAAAAATAATCTAACGTATTACAATTAACTACGCCATTTNATCTAACGTATTACGATTAACTACGCCATTTTAAATAAATTCGACGATTCTATTGGATGAATCTTTTTTAAAATTTAAATTTAATTTTTATTTTTTAAGAGAAAGTATTTACGGTAACAGTTAAAAAAATTTAAATAATAATAGTAAAAATTAATTTTAATGACGTAATTCTCATTCATACTAATACAACTTTATATAATATTGAATGAAAATCATGTCTAGTGTGACGGATTTTGAAAAGAATAATGACGTCATTTGACGTCTTTTAAAAATAATTACTTTAAATTGCAATAGAGTGCAATACAATTAAGCCATTTAACTACCAGGAAATGGAGTTTATAAATTTAAAAATTATATATATTTTTGAGATTAAATGAAATTTTAAAACAATTTAATGTATTATTTTTTGTTCTACGCCATTTTGGATTGCCGCTATGAACCCATTCTTTTGCAGTTAAAACAGTTAAATTTTATATCATTAAGATAATATAGGTTAATATATTTATTTATTTTGTATTTTTAAGTTTTAACAACGATAAAATGTGCGTAATTCGATACAAAATTGCATTAACCGCAGCTTATGGCTCATTGACCCCATAGTTTTTCAATAGGATAAGCAAACTTTGGGTGTGTTTCATGAGTACAATTATCCCATTTTGTAAGGAATTATGTGAGAAAAATATATATATATTTTTTTCAACATACCGAATTAAATTTCTATCGAAAGTGCATAAAGAAATCAGGATGTAGTTGGTAAGAAAGTGACGGAAAATACTAAGAATTGCTGTTATTTTATATTGAAAGGATATGAAATGAATTTTTTGTCAGGGGCTATGAAAATATGTTTATTAAATTTTATCACGTCTGCTGGCATGTTTTCGTTTCATTTACAGAGGATGTGGCTACGAAATTCTACAAAGTTCAATGGGATGAGATATGGTGCATGAATAAAAATGTATTGTTGTTAATCTTTGTTGTAGCATAGAAGATGAACTTTGTGGGTGTTTCTATTTATTTTGGTGTTTTTTAAAAGTTTATATTCTTAACTTTTTATACAATTTATATATAAAAGTCTATATGTCTTTATAGTTAAGGAGAATAATAAATTCATTATTTTCTCGGTTTTATTGGAAAATTTATACAAAAAGTTATACGTCCATTTTAATTACAGTTTTGATCTCCCTTCCTCCCTGTTGTGTACTGTATATTAATAAATTTAAAAAAAATATTTTTACTGTTTTTGTCTCGTGGGTGCCATGTACAATTATATATATTCGACAAACCCTCTTCCATTTAATTACGTGTACAATACTTCACCTTTGAAGAAAGTGTTTTGCAAATATTTTCTACTGATAGTTTATTCACAAGACTAGCAAGTAGGCTTATAAGAACAAATTAGTATGCCACTATCAGTTAAAATAAGTCCACGTAGACAATGCTTCGACCCCCTTTCACCCCATCGTGTAGTATAATAATGCAGTATACTTTTCGCTACCCCCTTAAACTGCATGCGTAATTAAAGGGCGGCTCCTTTGTAATTTTTTTTTACAAAAATTGCAAATTTGTATTTTGTTCCTGTTTGTTTATTCTGTCTTTTTTTAAAATTCTATACGAATTTTTTAAAATCAGTTTTCTCACTGCTGAAAATAGCTTCTCGCAAACTGTTAAATAGACACTTTGTACGTAATTTTACTGTTTAAATGTATTTTAGAAACAGGAGTGTCCTTTAACCTGAATGAATATACTACAAATAGACTTAAAAGTTGACACCTAGTCATAAAAAAAATCATCCTACCCATATTTTTCTAGCCTAGATAATAATACTTTACGACTTTACTATGCTTAAAAAATATACACTGTACAACAGAAACTTATTTAGGCTATTTTAAATTATTTTTGTTACACAAAATGGGACAAATTTTAAAAAAAAAGTATATATATTACTAATTTCTATATAATCTCAATAATAACTAGTAATACTAGTTAGATATATTAATAGGGTGGTCCAAAAGTTAGTTGACCAGTAAACTTGCGAATATAAATCGTAAAGTGAGTTTAAAACATATAAAACTGGCGGAAAATTACCTAAATAAAGCAGAAAATAAAGCTTTTTATAATAGTTAACTGATTTTTGGGCCACCCTCTAAACAAGTAAAGTAACTATTTCGCTTGAAATTTTTGCTACATTCCTCAATTCACTTGCAATATTTAAATTAAATGCGATTAAATAAGATTAAATTAAGCAAGAAAATGACGAAAATCGAATATTTAACATTACAATTATCTTAGAAAAGTCATTTTTATCGTTTCTGGTTTATGCTACGATAATCCATCTCATTATCATAATATGGCATGATGAGAGAATTTCGTATTTGATTAATGTAATTAATCTTATATCCTCGTTGACGTCATTTAGATCCCCAGTATTCAATTTCTCATTATAGATTTTTCCTGTATGCCACGTATATCGAACGTAAGTGATAATGTATACTACAGATAGCAATAGATAACACGCTACCACAGAGACACTAATAACAATTTAGCGTGCTTTATGGTATTTTAATTATATCTAGAGGCTATAAAACTCAGTAAGCTAAATCCGAGATAATTTATTTATCATTAATTACACACGCTCGGTAAAAAAAAAAAAAAAAAAAACTGAGCATACTTAAACTTAATTGCATTAGATTAAAGTAAACAATATTATAGAATTGTATAAAATGTTTTAATCAGCATAAAAATTTATAAAATTATAGTTAATTGTGTAATATTTTTAATGATTAATAAATTACTATGCGAGCAATTATATCACGTGTTTGGTCTCTTTTCTTTATAAATCACGGTCGAAACAATCGAGAAAATTCATAATTTCTATGCCCTATACACTATTGTAGTTGAGATCGACGAAGCATAAACTCTAGATTATAATATATTGCACAATAATATACAGTACATCGTCATTATTTTCACTCGAACGATTTATATATTAGAGAAGTTTCTACAATTATAATCATTATTTTCATAAAATTCATTTTAAAAAAATAATTAATACAGTTGAAAACCACCTCCGAACAACGGCCCCTCTTTATACCTCCGTCAGTGCTCGTTGTTCAGAAATGTGACTCTATATTAAATCCTAAGAGTAAGAGAAATACAGTCGACCCCCTATAACACTGTTGATTATTCCGTTTTACATGAATTCCATGTTGTACGAGTCACTTAGATTTTACAAATACGTGAGCCGTTCACAGCCCGGCACACATATTTGTAAAATCTAAGTGACTCGTACAACATGGAATTCATGTAAAACGGAATAATCAACAGTGTTATAGGGAGGTCGACTGTAATAATTTTATATAAAGGCTAATTGGGATGTCTGTCTGTCTTTCCTTAATCTCGAGAACAGTGTTAGATAGATGAAAAGATATGGAAAGCTAAGCTTAGGGACAGGAGGCTCCGATTATCTATATACGAACATTTAATGCAAACAGGAGGTTATGTTATTACAAATTAAAAAGTTTCTGCCGGAAAATGTTAGATGACCGACACGACTCTATTGTTAAAAGAGGAGTATGATGTACAGAGACAAGCCACTACTAATTTGAGGTGGAGAGCATATATTTTAGATTAAATAAATTAAAAATATAATTAAAAATTGCATCCCGGTTTAAACTAAAATCAATTTTAATGAAAATGTTTCAAACTCATTCTAAATAATTTAAAATCTATAAATATGAATTAATATAGAAAAAAGTAAGCGTAAAAAGACTATAATTAATAGTAAAACTCAATTAAAATGTAGACTACTAGAAATTAAAAGTGCATTCGTTTTATTCGATTAACGTACACTATGACATCAATTTGACGTCTTTCTTGTTAGTTTTCTTAACAAAAAGTGTGCTAATGACGTCAACTTGACGTAAAAGTGTACATTATTTAAGAAAAGCGAATACGCCTTTCATTGTTCGAGAATGTTGAAAGAGTTACCTTTTATTAGTTAATTAAATATGTACCAATGAGCGCGTTGCCTGGTAAAGCATCTTTAATACAGTTGGATAAATAAGCCAATGACCTAGCCCGTTTCATTTGAAACGGATTATGTCATTGGTTTGCTTATTCAGCTATATTAAAGCCATTTTATTAGGCAACGCACACAATATCACTAGAACTTTAATATTCCGATAACACGATTCTATTGGTTAGCAATTATTTAAATCAACCAATAAATGATATCTAAGTATTCTAGAAAACAAAATCTAGAATAATTTAAGTTCTGTAATACCTGTAATTGTAAATTAATAGTTAAGATTTAAAAGAAAGCATTAATAAAATATAATTAATAGTAAAATCTTAATAAAACTATACTAGAAACCAAATACTTTAGAATCTGCAAAATCTACTTTTATTGGTTAATTAAATTTTTAAATTGACCAATAAAAAGAATCTTAAGAATTTTTGAATGTCAAATCTAGGCATTTTCAAGGAGAAAGTGTATTAATGAAATAAATAAACAAATTATTTAATATTTAGAATTTTGAGCATTAATAAACTAAAATTAATAACAACATTCAATCAAAACGTACTAAAAATTAAGCTGTTCTAGAATTTTGTAAGATTCGCTGTTATTGGTTAATTTATTTTTAAATTGACTAATCATTAATATCGCTAACGTAACTTCGTATCGATTAAGCATTAAAAAAAGTAACTAAATACAGATTTATGGTATCAGAAGTAAATTAAAATATCAAATATTTGAATTTTAAAACATTTTAAGCTAGCGACATACTTTTTAATGTTTAAAAATACAATGAAATAGGTTACAACCGAAACCATCGATAATAAATTGAAGACTATTCGACTTTGACCCATAAATTTGATATAAATCGTATAAACATACAAAATTATACGACATATTTATTATTATTTAAATTTATATATTAAGAAATTCTTCAAAATAATGAATAATTAAAGTTAAAAAAAAAATAAATAATATATTTATATTTGACATTTACGTCCACCAGACGGTGTCGTGTAGTTGTAAACACGTGTGGCGGTTGATTCGATTTGAAACAAGCGTAAACGTTATATTCAAGTAAGAATTTGATTTCTTATACTCTTATAATGCAATGTTTTGTATAGATTATTGCTCTAAATTTCTTAGAATATGAAATATAGGCTCAAGTTATTGTGTCAGGGCGCGGTATCGAATGAACAAATGTATAAAATTGGTTATCTGATCACATGTTTTACTGATAATGCCAATTGTGTAATGCTTTAAAAGAAAAAAAAAAACAAAAATATACAGCGATCACGTTCAAAACATGAAGCACTCATTCATTACATGACATACTGTAACGTGCCATAACTTAATAAGTAGATTTACAACCCACGCCTTTGGTTGAAGGCATGATTCTTTTGATAAATTTTATCAAATTTCTCAAGATCTGTAACGATTCATGACGTAAATCATTGAAAAAATCGAAATAGACTAACATTGAAATTATAAAATGGAAATTTGTCCTTCATAACAATGTTCAAATGAGTTTACAGTATAAGTTACTTTTAGTTAAATGTTAAGGTATATATGTATATACAAATTATCTAAAAGTAACAACCCCATATGTTTGTATTGAGGAGACAATTTTGTTGAAAAATACAATAAAAAAAATCCTAGAATTTTAATGATTATGACATTAATAGTTTCATAGATATATTATTCATGCAAACGACTTAATGTCTCGTGATTTGAATGTTAATCTACGAGAGATTTTTAAAATATTAGTAACATTATGCTAAATAGCCGGAGATAAATGCAGAAGAATACTGTGATAAATAATAAGGACAAAGTTATGAGACATTTACATTTTATAAAATAATAAATTATATAATTTTCTGTACAGGATGATTACTATTCTAAGAATTATATGCTAAATATAAGAGTATTTAATCTGATATTTAATATGTTAGATACATTAGAAGGCTAAAAAGATGTTGTATTTATTGATTTTAATAAAGTAAAATCTATTTAAAAAGTAATGAGAAATTAGAATTTAAAAGAGATATTACATAATCAGAATGATTTAATGGCATTTCTTGATTGTAAACATAAAAAATAGGCTGACTACGATTTGATTGCATTGTCATAAATTGTGATTAGAATGGTTTCTTACAAAACTAGCGCTTATTCATCATGTTATTGAACTTATTTGTAAATTAGAAGACTTGTTTTTTTTCTTACAAAGGGAGAGGCAAGGACGAATTAACAGTATTAAGTAGGCCACGCAAAATGCCATGACAAAAAATCGTAAAAATTAATCCGATATTTTAAAAAATGTTCGTTTGAGAAATTAAATAAAATTTAATTTAAAGTTACATTCAAATCTGTATAGATGTTTTATTTATTAATAATGTCGTTATGACATCTTAAGGTATAATTTTATACATTATGTAGTTTAAATAGAAAAACGGATTGACGGCGTTTCTTCTCAAAACTCATCGGTATTTCGTAATGTCCGAGGCAAAGAATATGTGTAACGAGGACGTCGTGAGGTCTCCCTCGGTTGACTTTTTGCTTAAACAAGTATACTTGGCGCACAAAACGAAAGTTAAAGGTGAGATCATTTTTAATTGAGTTATTATCCTTGAGAAATGAAGATTAGATAAGTTATCTTTTATTTGTCATGAGTCAAAATTTAATTTTAGAAACAAAAATAGCTTATAAATTATTAAATGCAATCCTGTAATAAATGCATTAGTCATCTGATTACAACTCTTTAATTTTAATAAAATATGTAATTTTTATTTTTTCTCTCTAGCCCTTGAAGCTGAAATTCAAAAGCTGAAGACAGAATTACTTGAAGAGAAGAACAGGTAAGTTTAATAATAATTTAGAGTTCTTGATGTTGCTAATTTGATGATATTTTGGTGGAATATTATCAAAATTTGAAAAAAAATAAATTTAAAACATGCATTAGCATAAATTTTCTTTCAAAAATATAAAAGTATTGAAAATTATACCCTGTATGTCCTCAAAAAATACACATTATATTAACAGTATTGATTCTCCTGTACAGACTGCTATCTCGGGAAAGCATTAATGCTAGAAAGTATGACATTAAATAAATTTAATTTTAAGGAAAAATATCTTTTCACATGTTTTATTTCAAATTCTTTACAAATAAATATCATTATTTATTCCAATTGACATTGCTGTTCTTATTATTGACTTTGACCTATAAAACTAAAACTGACACCAAAATGTAAATGCTTGGTATTTACTAATACAAATTCTGACACCTTGACTAAATATATGAAAATATTTAAATGAGAGTAATAAATTTATGTAGTAGAGTGTAACTTTCAACACATTTTTTAACCGCATGAAATTGTTTTGGTAAACAAGTCATGTATAGAATTGTTAGTCTACTAGAAACAAAATAAAATTTACTTCGGCTAACTTATTTTTATGTTAACATTGTTAATTAACCTAATATGTAAGTGAAAATTTCTTTTGTATTCTTTCCAACCTATGGGTACTAAGAAGGGATTTCTTCAAACCTATTGTAGGTTTGTCTAAGCCCATAATTGGACTTGACATATCTGGGATAGACCACCCCAAAAAATTTCTGTGGTGTTTTGATTGCCTGGATTTGATCCTGAGTCCTCCAGAGTGGTAGGCTGACTCCTTAAACATGGCAGTCATATCTGAAAATCAGATCCAATAAGTATTTTTTTATGTTCAAGAGAAACTATAAAAATCATAGCAATTTTTCTGTAAACAACAATCTCCATTAAAACTGATAAAATGTATTATTCTCTTGAAGCTGGACTGAAACATTTGGAAAAAAGAAACAATGTCTACTGAATGACTAACAGTTTTCTTAAATGGAGGTAAGAAATTACTGTATTTTCAAAGGGTAATCTGAACATGAAAGTTTCTTGGAAAACTATATGAATATCTTGAGAGGTTCATAGCCATCATTATTAGAGAATGTTGAATATATTACAACTGATAACTGCAAATTATTTCTTACATTGAAAGATATAATACATAAGGGAATAAGAACAGAAAACTTGAAAATAGTTTATGAAATTATATGCTTTATTCATAATATGGTTTACTGTTGTTTACTATGCTAATACTCTGTTGCAGGCATATATACAGGATGTCTGGAACCACAGCAGTTATGTTGATATTTGTTTATTCTTTTACATGTACTGTATGCTGAGTAAGGATGAACAAATTCAAGTCATTTTGATGATAGGGGATCCACAGTCAGTTTGAAGTTGCCAAAGAGTTTAACAGTCTGCATCCAGACTTCCCATCAATCAAATACAGCAGTCTGCAACCTGTTAAACTCTTTGGCAACTTCAGACTGACTGTGGACCCCTCACTATCAGAATAACGAATTTGTTCCTCTTTAGTAAGCAACATGTTTTGTTTGTAAAATATATAGAAGTTATGTTGTTTGTAAACAAACAACATAACTTCTATATGAAAAACAGTTGCATTAATTAAGGACTGCAAAAATGATATATAAGATGTACGTACATTTGATTGCCTCATGAAATAATTTTAGCTACAACTATGCATTTTGGTGAAGCATTACAAATATCATCATACTGTACAACTCTTTAGGAACTGCACAAATAGGGCCAGTTTCAGCTTTTACTTCTTTGCCACAACTGTGTGGATGACTTTATACTGTTAGCTTTCAGCAGCATAAAGTTTATCAGAAAGATCTTATGTAATTTTCTGTGTATAACCCACAAAATTTGCTAGAATACACAGCCTGTCCACAGGAAATTATGAAAATTCATTTGTTATAGTGACATAAGGACAATTCTAGAAAGAGTTTGATCATAGCATAGACTAGGATTCTTCTTCGGCGAAATCAATGACATTTTTCTTTTACATTTCTACACTCGTGTATGTAAATATATATAATAAATCTAAGTAATATACAAGATAAATTGCATATGTGAGTGGAAATTCTCACATAATGTACTCAAAATTCTTTTTTTAACATTAATTTATTAACATTTACTATAGAGAAATAATAGAATAATTCATTACTAAACGTATCTGTCAGTCAAATAGAGAAATCTTTTTTCTTTCCTTATTAACAGAAACAACGAATGTGCACAATGCAAGAATCTACAATCCTCTTTAAAGAAGTGTAGAGAGAATTATTCCAATGCTTTAACAGAACAAAAAAGAAGGATAGAGCAGTTAGGTATGTTTATGTGGGACAATCGTTAAATCTTATCTATGATTAAATATTGATATTTTAAATATATTTTATTTCAGAGATTCAGTTATCATCATTACAAGACACCTCCTTATTTAAGTAAGTATAGTTTCGATACATTTAATGTAACCATTTCTGAAAAGTATTCAAAATTTTTTATATTTTTAGTACTAGATCAGAATCTGAATATCCTCTGAAAAGAAATAACGACACAGAAAAGTCGTTTAATACAGCTAAAAAGTTAAAAAATGATAAAGCATTAAACACTGCACCTATCAAGTCACTCCAATGTAATCAATATAACTTTTTGAGATGTGAGGAGTCAGTTTTAACTCCACAAAAACTGAGCAATACTCTTTTTGTTCAGGGAACAACAGATACAGACTTTATAAATGAATTACTTGATGTTCCCAATGTTATCATAACAGAAACATTAGATGTTGATACTTTGAAACTTCAACAATTGCTTCCAGAGACGAAAGATTCTAGACAAAATTCTTCCAAAACAGGCTCCGACAGTCTTACCATTGCATCACCTTCTCTCTTATCTCATCCAAAACCATTAATAACTAACCATTTGAGCAGCAGTTCTACTTCGGATGTGCATTTTTCATCAGAGAATGAAGATACGCATTTTGAAGAGGTTATCGACATTTCAAACGAAACAGGAAATTTGGACCACAAACACTTAACAGGCTTTGAAACTGATAAAGATGCCATTGAAACTGGAAACAAAGCAAAAGATAGTTTTTCTGATATAGATGAAACTTATTTACCATTAGTGTCAAGCACGAAAGAAAATGATCAAGGTTTTATAGAAGCAGATGATGATATTACGATAATTGAAGAAATTCCAGTACCTGAAACAGGTAAGTATTTTTATAATTTTATGTTAAATTACTACATTTAATTATCTGAATGTAAAAATCAAACTTTTGCTAAAGTATTTTGGCAAAACTATTGATCAAATTTTGATTTTTTTCACTCTCCTGAATGTGTTTTATGTTATAGGAAGTCAAAATGTTTTCAGAATTGTGGTTTATAGCACTGTAATGGTAGGGCATATGGAAATGCTTAGCTAATCACCTTCAAAGGAGGACACTTTAGTGCTCAAACACATTTGTCCCATTGATCCTGAAAGAAGAACCATTGGAAGACTTCTTTTGGAATATTTAGTAGTTCAGCTGTTGCATTTGATTTGATAGCCTTCATGGTTGTGAAAAGCATCCCCATGAAACCCTTTTCCAGCATGGGAAACAGCCAAAAGTCACCCAGAGTAAGACAGAGTATGGTGGTTGGGTGATGACAAGAACTCTTGCAATGAGGACCTGTTTCACAACCATGGAGGACATCAAATTGAATGTAATGGCTGTACTCCCAAATATTTCAAAAAGAGCCTTCCAACAGTGTTTTCAACAATGGCAGGATTTACAGGGCATGTGTTTGCTGAAGGATTCTATATTGAAGGCAATTAGGTAAGCTTTCCATATGTCAGTGCTGTATCACAATTCTGGAGACTTTGACTGCCTAAGTAATATAATTTTGTATATGTTGCTCAAAGTAAGAATTATTAATTACTGTAAAATGGGGTTACTTTGACCATTTTTAACTGTTATTCACTTCTATCTAAATTGCCATTGATCTATTTGCATCTGTCAAAACTTTCCAAGATGATGGTATTAGGGGATAAAGCTGTATTTTCTGTGTACTGATCATGTGGAAATTATTTAGTGTTTAGTTTTGAGGTTACTTTGATCCACTTGTGGAATCCAATGATTTTACTGTGCAGGTACACCTGTTGACCAAAGTTAATCCCCTTGAGAAAATGCATAATAAACTGTACTTCAAAATAGAGCTTGTGCATCTAAAGAAGAAAATGAAAATGTTTCAGAAATCCAGTATTTATGCTTTGTTCTTTGGAGACAGTAGACTGCAAAAGTTTTGTATTCCAAATGAAAGCAAGTTCCAGAATAACATATCCAAGTGGTGTTTTTATACGCTTAGGAACACCTATGCACCCCAACACATCAATCCACGAGTAAAACTATTCATTATGTCTTGATGGACATTTCCACAATTTCAAAGAACACATCATTGATTGAATTGTGGCTTCATTTTTGTCAAACCCTCCACTTTATAAGTGAAGGCCATGTATTCTCCAGGCTGCTTAACTAGCAGTTGAAAATGTCATTGGTCTTTGCTTCTCACTGTCGCACTGCTGGAACCAGTATCAGGATCACCAAGATCATTATCATTCAATCCCAGCAACATATCATCAGTATCAGTTGAATCACAAAATAACTTTTCTACTTTGCTGGTCTTATCTATATCTTCAGCAACAACTTGCAGGCATTTCTTTACAGGATTTACTGACTCTTGGGTTACACAGATCCTTTTTCCCAGAAGAAATTAGCAGTTTGAAGCTCTTGCTTCTTGCTGCATGTTTGCCAAATGTTCTTTCAACAGAAAGAACAAAACACTAACAACTTCTTCATCTATCTTTTCATTTCCAGGAAGACAAGACAGTAAGTGCTCAATATCAACAGGAACTATTCTACACTTACAAAATCCTGATTTGTTTTCTCTTGTAGTTGGTGCCAAAGTATCTGTGAGCTACTTGAGCAATTTTGTAAACTTTGGCAATACCTGTTCTTTTCTCCAAGCCATTTCATCAGCCAAAAAAAAAGGCAATGTTGAGCAGTTGTGTGATGTGGGTGGAGTTAGGGGAGGCACACCATATAAATATTGTGTTCTCTGTAGATTTTGAAGACAATCATATTAATATGCAACAGGTTATCTCCAATATAGATATGTTTGCTTGGATCTTTTAACACTTGGGGAAGAATTACCTTCTTAAACCATTCTTGAAATGATGCTGTCAAACCATCCACCGGTGGTGTTGGAGTAATGACATTTTTCTGGCCCTATGTCCTAAAGACATTTTGATTTCTATATCACAAACAGTTCTAGATGTTTACCCCCAGCATTGGCAGCAAACATAATGGATATGGATGATTTTGATGATTTCAAAAACACACCAGATAATTTGTACCCGATTTTATTATAATTTTCTTTTGGCCAGGATTGTCAACTAGGGTTTGTTTCATCATAATTCCATGTCTCTCATTAGGCATTCTCAAGAAGTGTGGCCAAATTTATGAAGTATTTTACTAGGAATCTTTGGTGATTGCTGCTCTGCACCATTTGATGTTATACTGTTGCTACTGTTATACTGCTATGTCATTTGAGGAAACAATAGCCTGGGTTCATTATTTACAAAACTCTACACCCATCTTCCCTGCTGATCCAGACAGCCTTTGATGATTAGATGTAAATACATGTCAATCAATGGAAATCCATGTTCAGCTAATGAATATGTGTCTCTTCTATCTTCTGTGAATATTTGTGGATAGCCTGGTTTATTAGCAATACAACCAGCTAGTTTGTTTTTCATGGTACCTATTGGAATCTCAAAATGATCTGCAGCCTTACATTGATACATATTCCCATTTCTTACAGCTTCTAAGCTTCCTGCAGTTTTTCCTGAGTGTAGTCTGCATTTTTGCAGCTCCTAGTCATCTGTTTATAGATCTTGATATCTGACATAAAGATGTAGCAAAATATTGTTTATAAAATACAAATACATTTGCCAAAAAAACAGAATAACTTGCAAAATGATATAATACTAACTTCACGGGTAATTTGGTTCATATTAGGGCTGGGACAAAGTATCCTCACAATATAGCTTAACATCCTGTTTTCGCAACACTACAAACCAAACACTATGAGAAATGTTCCTTCAGAGTCATCTATCAATGGACGCACAAACAATTTCTCTACTTGCATGTCTGAAGTTGTGCCCGCAGATGAAATCTTTTTCATTAATTGGATCAAAGTAACTCCATTTTATGGTACCAAATTTGTAAAATTTCTAATTGATATGCAGTAGTTAGGATTGGGCTAACAGTAACCTAGATCAAACAAATATTTTGCCATACAAACTGTCCATTCAATGATGATAAACAAAGGGCAGGATCATATTGGTGGTAGTACTTTAGAGACAGATATAGGTTAGAATTAAGGATTCCCAAGATGCTAGTAAACATGTAGGGCATTCACTAAAAATGATGAATGTTCAGGATTTTTTGTTTTAAAGAACAAACTGAAGGGTAACCCTAAGAAAGGGTGCTGATTGAGTTCAGTGTGGATCGCTTTCAGTGGTACAATGAATCTTGTGTGCAGATTGGAAAATGACATCTGTTCATTTGTAAGAGATCTGAATGTTCTTTAGGATGTTCTCAGATAAGAAAAATGAGTGATTTTCAATTGTGATCACAATTGATAATGTCTGAATTAAATAGGTAATGTGTCCAATACTTGTATATATTTTTATTGTATCCGTGTTAAATAATGTACAAATACACTACAAATAAAGTTATAAGCACAAGTAGAAATTGTATTTAGTCATGGTATTACCACATGCATATCACAATATTACTCAATACTGTCTGTACAAAGTTCTTGATCTAATCACAAATAAAGCATTTACATTAGAAATGTTGTAAGTGTATGTTGACAAAAGGAAATTATCTGGAACCTTTTAACAAGGTTATCTGTCAAAATGCCTTTAGGATTGATCTAATTTCAATTCAAAATATCATGATACTGCCAACCTTTACAGGAAGAGGAGAAAAATTAAAATTTGCAGAGCAGAGAAGAGCATATAAATTGTGTTGTGGCCAGTATTTAGGTGAATGTACAATTTGTTCGTTCTTCATGCCACCTAATAAAATTGCCGATTTCATTTTGTATACTGCCAGAAATATAAAATAAATGAACAAGTTACCAACTAAAATGCTTAAAGAAAATACAGTATTTGTCAAAACACTGCTTTTATAAATTTAAATCAATTGTTTCACTTAAAATGATGATATCAACACTTTTCAGATGAACCCAAGGATAAAGTTCATGTTATGTTAAACAGTTTTGGAGGATGCAGTTTTGACAAGTAAGACATTTTAATGTAGTATACCTTATGTAAATGAACTTTTTGCTAAAATTTGCTTTTATAGACCACCTGCAAAAGAAGAAGTGAAATATAAATACAAAGAAGAATGTGTTAGAAAGAAAGACGAGCGAAGAAAGTTGCCTGGACACAACTGTAATCAATGCAAACAGGTACAATAGATGTTATTAAATATTTCTGTTCCAATACTTAATTTTTCCTTTCTATGTCACAGTATTACGATCAGCTTGAATTGACAGACAGCGAGAAAGCCAAGAGAATGAAGAAGTGTTCTAGACATAGAGCACTATATAGTCCACCCCAAACACCAGAACACTATTGGGAACTTGATTTTCCCAATACTGCAGTTTGTAAAGAAAGAGGTAAATGCTTATTGTTGCTGCCGAATTTGTGTGAAAAACTCTACTAAAGTATTTTTGAAATTTCAGGCTACATCAACGAAACACAAAAGCGAGAGCTAAAGACTCGCAGACGAAATCCCCTCCAATTTAAACAAGAAAGAGACGAGAAAGCATTCTGAAATGTAAATTATTTATTTACAAAATGTACATGAAAGACTTGAGCAATGAAGGTTATGATTATGATAACTATACATACTGGTTTTTAACAAAATTCTTTCTATCGATCAATGATACTTGATTTTAAGTATTGTTACTACTAGCATCGTAAAGAATTAGTGGAAAACTCGCAACTTTGTAACATGTACTTCTCATTTTCTTAGTAACATTTATTTTTGTCTAATAAATAAGACTGTATATAAACAAGTTTCTGTAACTATAACATGTTATAATATATACAATGCAAATGTACAGTGAGTAGGTGGCTAATTGGCACACTTATCAAATGAGAATGTTGGTCATTCAATAACTGTTTATGCAGTTTACTTAATTGGCCTATAATTTAACACTAGATCTCCGCCACTTTTCCATATAAAGTGTCGAACCGTCCGCAAATCCATATTGGGATCTAATATCTGTTGGATAAAATATAATTTTAATATTTTACAAAAGAAGACTAGCTGAAGATTTTAAATAATAAAAAAAGACCTGATCTTGACATAGAAGTTCCACCTTCTCTTCTGCTATCGACGTTCTCTCGTCGTCTCTTTCCGGTTCTTGTTTCTCTTGGTTTCCGGAACCACCTGATTGACTAGCCGTCTGAGAACCGGTATCCGATCCTGCTCCCATAATTTTCTCATAGACATGTTCTATTACCTTTCTGACTTGCAGCATGTCACTGGCAGACAGCCTTTCCCTTTGAGAAAATAATTATATATTAATATATTGTATTAAATTCTTGGAATTGTAGAGAAGCGACAATTTGTGATAAAAGAAAGTTAGTAAAAATCTACAAAGGAAAATTAGTACAAATTTTGTCATTGATTAATGTTTCACGCAACAAGTTTTGTGAATGGATCATTTCTTTATGTTGTCGTAAAAAATTTGCACGGATACGAATTTTTCATCTGCTAATTTTAATAAAAAGAGCTTGTTTTGTCATTGGTTTTAACAGATTTAGAATAAACTTGTTCATAAATTTTATTTTTTTTTAATATATTGCAAAATATATATTTTATTTTCATTTTAATTATATATTTTTAAAAGTTGTAGTGATATTGTAAATTTTTATTTTATTTATGAATGTTAATATTAACTACAAGGAAAAAATAAAATGTTTGTTTATTTAAAGCATAATAAATAGTTTTGAAACTCTGATAATTGTTATTTTTCTTCTAAAAATATGGCCACTTAACTCAGCTTTTTAATTATATGCTTCTTTACATATTATATTTCTTCAATTTTGTTAAGTAATAATAGCAGAAAAAACAATACAAATGCCATGAAGTAGGTAATATTTAGCCATTTATTTCCACGCTCTTCTGCAATATAACAACTTAAAAAGGATTCAAATTAATGATGCAGTTATTAACATGATATAAACATAATTTTGTATGGGATAACCAAAAATGTCCATTAATGATACAAGATGTGACAATTTAATTCCTGGAATGGCTGTGTAGTGTCACCTGTGACATAATTACATCAAAATGATGTGCATTCGTGTTTGAACTAATACATGTGTAAATTTCAGGCTGATAGAGCTAGTTATTAATTATCTATTGCAAGGGTCACTAACTTTTTTCACAACAGGCCAGACAACAGTGAATGACAAGTGCGGTTTGCATAACCATTTTGTTCAAAACAGTACACTGGATACACAAAATATAAAGACAACCAACATATTTATTAACCAATACACAAACACGATTACTGCAGCAAGCTGGTAATCTCTTTTCTTAGAAACTTTATTGTAGGTGCTTACACAAAAAGTGCTCTGATATCCAGTCATAAAGTTGCCGAATTTTTTATTTCACTGATTTTCCTAAAAATTATATTACTGTCAGATGCAAAAATTAGATTGAACCAATTTTGGCAATTTTACTTAGACTTATTTTAATTTTTCTACATAGTAAGTTTATCTACAATCTATGATATTTCCATATAAATAATTATATTTTAGCTCATTTGTGGCACAGCGTGGCAGCAGGCCAAATGAGCTGATCTTGCGGGCCATAATTTGGTGACCCCTGATCTATTGAGAAGGTAATAGTTATCTATGTGTACTCTTTGGCATAAAAATACATGACCAAAATTTGGAGCCATGTATTATTAAACTGTGTGAAAATTGGCAAATGCACTACCGAAACTTATAACTGTTGCAAATGGCATACAGTGAAGATGCTATGCATGTTGTACTTACAGTTTAAGACTATGTTGATGTGTTTCTTCAATCACAAGGGAATAGTCCAAGAATTTATTGAACAGGGACAAACAGTCAACCAACAATGCTATATAGAAGTACTGCAGGGATTACAAGATTCTGTTTGAAGAAAAAGACCTGAACTGTGGCCTGACCAGTTGTGGATCATTCATCACAACAATGCACTTATTGTGAGATATTTTCTGGCCAAAAAGCAATTATTCAATTAGATCATCCTGCCCATTCACCCAACTTAGCTCCCTGTAATTTCTGGCTATTTCCAAAATTAAAAGGTGCGCTGAAAGAACAAAGACTTTCTAATATAACTGATATCTGATAGAATGTGAGACATTTTCTGTAATACTGTTGAGCAACTGAGTTCCAGACCTGCTTCCAGAAATGGGACTGCCATTTAAGACCATCATGCATAAGGAGAGTACATTGAGGGTGATAGTAGCGATCTTTATAGTTCTAATCAAAAGTTTCTGTAGGCACAAAGTAAAAATGGGCAGTTTTTGAGTTAGTCCAGATACAAAAAACAGCATGATTCATGCACACGTGAGACCCTATATTTTTGTTTCAAAACGTAAACTGGCAATTCCAACAGAGTTCGTTTCAACTGTTATTAGGTCTCTTGAGAGGAGTGTGCTCATGAGCCAAATTGAGTAGTAGTTTAAAAAAAAAAAAGGATTTAGGGAATCAGCATGTGTGGAAATTGTTTTTGCATCCTGGTTAGGTTTGTCCTAGGTTATAGTAGGTTACTTTAGTTAGTGAGTAAGTTAATGTTTAAGAAAAATAAATAAAATTTTTTTAGGGTCTTGTTCATTTGTCTCTGTCAGTCTGTATTGTCTAGTTTGTCATTGTGTTCGTTTGCTTTTCGTGCTGTCTGTATAGCTGTTAAGTAGTATTAACACTTTGTGTACGGCCAATGTCTTTCTTGTATATATGTATGTATGTATGTTTTTGCATCACGGACTCTCAGTAACTCAAAAACTGTCCATTTTTTTTATTTTGTGCCTGTAGGAACTTTTGATTATAACCACAAAGATTATGCCAAATTCACCAAGACCTATTTCCCATAAGATTTGTGTGAGATTTCCTCTTTTCAATAATTAAATAGAAAGTAATAGATAAAACTGAAAATTATGGTTATCATTGTCAAAACACACATTGCTATGGACCAGTGCTATTCAAAGTGTTTGTCTGTGGAATAGTACTAGTAAACCATTGGCTTTAGTCTGCATAATGTTTCCAGGAAAATAAAAATGACATGGAATAATATCATGATTCCAAAAAAGAAAAATAAAGTAATAACTTTGTCATAAGACTACAGTATTTTATTTATTTTTTAACTCTGCCCTGTGAGCACTAAGAGGCCTTTTTAGCAAGCCCATTATGGATTTGACCAGGCCAACAATGAAGTGGCCAATGGTGAAGTATGTATGACCTCCAAAAAATTCCTGGGGTTTTTCAGCCCGTATGAAATTGAGCAGTAGGCTGCCATCTTAGGCACTTGCATATATTTCAGCCATATAGCTGGCTGGATGGTCATCTAAATACAAAGATTATTAGTGAGCACTCTGGTATTCAAATATCAGGGTACAAACTAATACAATAACTATAATACAGTAATATGGCAAAAATACAGTACTAAACTAGAAAATAGGAAAAAATCTTTCCAGCCTGTCATATCAACTAGTTTGAGAAGCACTGCCATACACTGCGATTCATTTGCAATGAGTAATCACGACGTTTGATGCCACAACAGAAGTTAATAGATAAAGTTATCAAAGTTATCAATTTTCATAAAATTTTTGATAAGGGGTGGAAAGTGGTGTTCATTAAAATAGCTATACCTGGAAGGAAAACAAATAACAGAATCATGTTTATTGTACACATACAGTATAATGGGAGGAAGACATGATTAAATTGACAGGTAATCTTGAGGTACAGAGCACCCAGCATATTGTACCTTATGTGCAAATTTTGCATTTATTGCATGCCGCCTTCATGATGTAGCAACTTTAATGGCCAGTAGTGGCTTGGTGCAATAAAGTTGCTAATGTTGATACCAACTCAAAACTATAATTAATAATTTATTGATTGAGGAGATGAGGAATTAAAAGGACATGTAAAATCAATTAATAATGTATAGTGAAGACTTATTATTTAATTTAGTATTGTTTTCCTGATGCAAAAAGCATCAGGCAAACAATACTAAATTAAATAAACAAACATCATTACTAATAAACCTAATACATTTAAAGCTATACACCAACCAAAGCCGAATATTATGAGGCTAGAATCAGCTATAATATTAAATAATAATAAATCCGGGTAGCGTAATTGGCAACGCATCTGCACAGTAATCAGGAGTTGTGGGTTCGAATCCTGCTTTGGGCTGATTCTTTTCTTCCAGTAGTTCTAAAATTATAATTATTAAATTTATCAAGAGATAGCACCTAACGCCTAATTCTAATGCCAAATTGTCTTATGCCTATTTATCTAAAGATAACCATAACTGAAACACTGATTACATATAATAACTTCAGTTAACTTATTGTTAACATGTTTCTGTAAATATATTTTAACTTCTGATCTGCTCTGTGGGTGCAGAGTGCCTTTTTCAGGCCCTCAATGGGGCAACTGCACAACGAAGAATGGAACCCAACAAATTCAGTACAGACCACCCACCGAAAAATTCCTGGGTTTCACAGAGCAGTAGGTTGATACCTTAACCATCTGGCTGGTATTAAGAGTAAGACCAAAAATGATAATCTTCCAGTGCAGTCAATTTCTTGATGTAATTTTTCTTTGCTCTGTAGTTACTAGAAACTGACAACAGTTAAATTTCTTTCTTAACATAAACAGATGATAATGATATAAAAACTACAGAACTTTTAAAATATAAAACATATATTAAAAATGTGTGAAAAACAGTTCTTTTTATATTCATTTTAATGTTTAAATTCAGAATCTGTTTACTTTTTCTTTAGTTAAAAATAATATTCATTCATAGTAATGATTTATGTTTACTTTAACTGATGTTCTTTCCTTTGATTATGAAAAACAACTTACTTGCGAAGAGGTTTTACTCCTGAAGATGAATGTGGCAATAAATAGAAAGGAATCTTGTTAAATCTTGGCATATTTTTCTACGTAAAAAATGCATTTATTAATTTTCTTCAAATTTTACCTTTCAATGTCTTATGATGATAAACACTTACCGCTACTACGACATCAGTAACCCAACTTGGTACAGTTTCGTGTAACAACAATTCTTCTGTTTCTCTCCCAGCATCACCCACAAGTAACCGTAATAATGTTCGGCCTCCAACCTCTCTAAGAAATATAATTTATATCATAAATAATATACATTTAACTATAAGTGTAGTGACAATATTTTTAGTTTATAAATATTAACTCAACATAATTATACATACATAATTGTATTTATGTAAAAGTTTTCTTATCATTTATATAAACTTCTCAAATCTGAAGTTATTAATACAAGCCAAACAATTGCTGCAATGCATCGGGCTATTGAGCTACCCACTATGGTGGAACTCACACCCACAGCTGGCTGAATGCCATAGTGGGTGATTATAAGGCCATGAGTAACCGTGAAAGCTATATCTAAGTTTAGATACACGGTGTCTCAAATTAAACTTGACATTTCCTAGATGGCTACAACAAAAACTATTCATCAGTCATACCACTACCAGCAGTATATTATAGCTTTGTAAGGAGTTAATTCCAACCCATTCTATTTTGTTTGGGGATTATTTTTAGTTTGTTATTCTATTTATTTTGGGGTGTTTTATTTCATTAAGGCTATGGTTCATTACTACACCTCACCAGTAAAATTCAAAATTAACTCACCTTACTATGATGACTGCTGGTGGAAACTTGTGATGTCATCAAATCCAGAAATGACATCTCAGGGGAGACTTCCGCAGGAAGTTAAAAAAATTATCTCCCACCCCAAATTGTCATCAGAAATGCAATAAAAAAGTTATAAAACTGCTTGTAAGGGAGATAACATGAATTAAAAAGACTGATTACTAGAATGAATGAAGTGTTACGTAAAAAAATTTAATTATTAATAGTAGCCGAAAAATAGCCCTACGCGTTACGGCAATTGTTTGGCTTGTTTTCTTATCAAATAACACTTAATATATTTGTAGATTTATTTTTTACTGAATAAAATATCAAATTTTCTTTGTATTAGATGAAACTGCAAATATTTATATTGAAAATTATAGTAAGGCTAATTTACATAATATGATTATAGCAAACATTTTGATGCATCCAAAAAGTCTGTCAACAAGATTGCCGATGACTCAGATGTTTATATATGCTGAAATACAACTTGCAAGTTGTTCTGAGCATATACAAGAGCTTTCATTTCTCTCTAGAGTGGTGAGAATGCAATCCAATACATGATTCTTATCTCATTATTGATTAGTTCGACAATGTGACAATGAGGAAAAAAATCTGAAACAGCTAAGACTAAGGTTACCAGTAAGTTGTGAATTTGTGAAAAAGAAGCAAATTGATGCGCATTTCAGTTTTGAATGACAAAATATTGGTGGTAGTTGTATTGTGTAAACTAGCTTTTATGTATTCAATATTATTGGATTTTCAAGGAAGTTAATTACAATCAGATTTAAAATTAGCATAATACTGATGAAGTATATATATATATATATATTCAACATCCTGAAGCCTGATATATTGATACTAATCCAAACTTTCACTGTAATTAATTCGGCTATTATTATGCTATAATTAATAATAACTAAGTAATTTGGTACTATGTTAGGCACCATCTCCTATACAAATTAATAATTATAATAATTTATTAAATAATTTGGAATATTCTAGAAGAAAAGAACTAGCCTGTAGTGAGACTTGAACCTGCGACCTCCGCTTACTGTATGGTGTGATTGCCAGTAATGCCATCCGGACTCTGAGCATGTCTTCACTTCCAGATGTATTTAAATTTTGACATAATCACCCACATCTGAATCAAAAACTTGCTTGGGTCAGATGGCATTACTGGCAAGCACACCGCACAGTAAGCGGAGGTCGCAGGTTCAAGTCTCACTATGGGCTAGTTCTTTTCTTCTAGAATATTCCAAATTATTTAATAAATTATAATTATTAATTATAGCCTAATAATAGCCCGAATAATTACAGCAAGAGATCGGATTTGCTATTTGTTAATTTATTTTGTGTATAAGATTGTACAACATAAGGAAACTTTTGAGTAATTAATTAAATTTGTTTAAAAATAATACATAATTAAAATGGGAAAAAATAAAATGCATTTGCAATATATAATGCTGTGGGATTTCTGGAAAGAAAATATTGTGGTCATTATAGCATAAACATTTGCAAAGTTTCTGGAAAATAATTGTCAAAAATAATTTATAGTGAAGTTGACATTGATTAAATCAAAGTCTTAAACGAAAAATGCAAGCCACACTCCTTTCGAAAGTTATGAGGATTGTATACTATTTTGAAATATTTAATTCTAAGTTATTATTATTTTGATAGTAAAAACTGAACACATTTAGTTTAGATTGAAGACATTCTGAAGAATATGCTAGAACCAGAACATCATTTACACATAAAAAATGCAAGTTCAAGCACTTGATTTTGCACAAATTTAAGAAAATTTTAAAGCCTAATTCTGCCTCGCGATCATTAAGAAAACATCAAACAGAGAAGGGATCTAATATCGTCTTTCTCATCAACAACCATTAGGAAAGGATAACTATTTATTGTTAAAGGTATGAGAACATCAACATTTGCCCATATAAGCAGGATGAATCTAACATTGCACGAAACATATATGGTTATGAAAGCAGTGACATTATAGTGTCATCGATAGATATCTCTGACCTGCACACCTGCAGCTTCGTTATTAAATATCCAATCACCTGATCATTTTCCCAGGCCAAAAACGAATATAAGGATGCAGCACCTGTACTTCGAGGTGTTCATCCTTAGGATTCCTTGGAAGACATTCTACCTTCCATAAAAGTCACTCTAGTCTCCTGGAACTCCATATGAATGGACCTGAACCCAGTCCCAGGAGAAGACAACGGTTCAACAACTTGGTTTCACTTCCCCTCTACAGAATGAACATCATGTATGCCTCCACAACAATTGAGAATCACATCTCTCAGAGGTATTTTAATTAGGCCATTGTAAACTCACTCTTGATTTACATAGCTTAGGTAGATAGGAATTAATAGATGGTATCGGAACGCCTTCACAATAGCCACACGAAGTAGGCTAATCGCATTATGTTATATAGCTACTCACTATATAGTATTTAATCATATGTTACATAGTTCTTTGTATGTCTTAGATTTAGTTAAAATAAACCTGTGTTGTACCTGTCTTAAAATAAACCATGACCTGTTTATGACCTGTCTTCCTCGAAAAACCAGACACCTATTGACTTACTCACTGAACCTCCCCACTCAATAATTTAGACTTTCCTATTCAATCTTTGTTCACAATTTGCAGGTTAGGACGTGTTTAACTCTATCCTAACTGGTATCATTATCCTGACGTTGACCAGATCTTGCAATCCCACCAACAATTTATCAAAGCATCATCCAACAGACATAGAGATTGGGTTTTACCAACCAGTGCCGAGTAAATGGTCATCAGGGATTGCCCCCTTGGCCCCTGGCTAATCTCACAAAAGCAATCTTCTGAGAACAAAGAAATGCCTAAAATTCAGTTTTGTCAGAGGTAAACCAAAAACTCATTCACAAACAAATTAAATAAGATTTGACTCTGGTTCTCCTTGAGACAGCACAGCTCCTCTTTTTCCAGTTTTGATTCTGCTTTGTGAATACTAAAAAAAACTTTTAATCATACCCATTATGGGTTCAAGCCATACTCAGAAAGGGAACAGCTGGGTGGCAAAGAATGAGGTTCAACATATCCAGAACATTTCATTTTTGGTTCCTCATAAAAAACTGTTTTTTACTACTTTCCACCTTAAATAAATATAAATCTTCAATTTTTGTTTCAATTCATGTTAAATGTTCAAAATAGTCTGCATTCAAGTTAGTTAACTAATCTATTTTAGATGGCAATTCTTCAAGTTCATTTAAATCATATCATATCTGTTCTCCGGAAATAACATTATGTGGAATTGAACTTGAAATTATTAGAAGAAAAATATGTTTCCAGCTGGAAGCATTCAAAGAAAGTTCACTTATGAATGCATTTGATTTCAAGGAAAGAGTGGTAAGACATTCAAGATGTTGATCTACGATTTAATTCAACTTCATCAATTAATAGTAAAAAAGAATTATACAATAAATATCTATATAATTGAAATACTTAACGTAAAAGAAGATAAAATAATCCATTGTTTCCTTGATGTGGCTTTTAACAAAGTATCAAGACTGGACAAAAAGTTGCCTGCATCAATGAAAGCAATGTCCAATAACACTAACATAATTAGTAGAATTAAAATATTTACCCAAAAATAACAGGTATGTGTTCAGGAACATTAAAATATGAATTTCCAGGACGTTGTCTGTCTCCATTTACCATTGGTTCTTCACTACTAGGCCCAGCAACACCTAGGAAAATCTAATTAATATTTATACACTGTTAAGAGAAACTATTTAATTGACTTAAAAGATGTAAATTTACCATTCTCACTTTCTTCTTCATTTGCATATGATGCAGGCCAATGTTCCAACAATGCCTGAAGTAACAATCCTCCCAAATTTACTAAAAAAAAAAATTTTTTTTTATTACAAAATTTCCAAGCTGACATTACATGTGATAGTTATTTTGCTACACTTACTTTTCGGATCTAGTCCATCATTTGGACTTAAACCAAATTCTTTAGCAGAGACCCATGCTACAAAACAATCTGGTTCTTCTAAATGGATGCAGAGCATCTAATAATAAAGTATAATTTGTAAAATAGATTAATTTGTTAATCCATTAGAATATAATTAGAAATGTTTTCTACAGTTTTTGCATCAAACTAAGATGACTTCTATTTTTCTAATATTAATGTTTTATTTTATAATTTTAATGTTGAAATCAGAGATATGTGCATTATTTTAGTATATAGGTCTGCAATTTTAGTATTGATGATAAAATTATTTTTTGTTTAGTTTATCCAATTTTATTTTATTACTACTACTAGAGAACAAAAATTAGTCATAAATAAAACTAATTAATTGTACAATGATATCTCATACTTCAAACACTTTGATCAAATGCTAAATTCAACAAATATTCACTTCAGCATTCGAATGACGCTTCAAAGTTCAAACTGCACACAAAGTGAAAAATGCACTCAAAGCATAAACACAATCTGCTGTGTGCTGAAGTTGTCTCTCACTCTTGCTCCTGCATTACCATTTTATGTTTCCAGTGCTTTTATTGCTTTATTTTTGGCATGTTTGCTTATACATTACTAATTTCTTTTTACTGTTTGTTTGAAATTTATCCTTTCTGAAACTCAAAACATAGCATGCTTTTTATTTGAAGACATTTTGATTTGATTTTAATCAAACGAAATGTGAAGTAAAAGGTTTTAAATTAAGACTGTAAACAAAGTATACAAACTCGCTTTTGCAATAACGTCTTAAATGAACTTATTGCCAAGCATGAAAGTGGTACATGTGTACTGGACCAGGCATCCATGTTTACAATGCTGAAGTTGTTGTGTGACCAGTAAATGCAATTTTCATTTATTATACAGTATTCACGTATTGTATTTATTATTTTTGTGTTTAATTTATTATTAATGCATTTAACTGTGTTATCTTTTCCTTAAATTACATGTACTTGCTAAGTTTATCAAAATGGATATTGTTTAAGGTATAGAAATGGATTAACTTGCTTTCTGTTATTTCTAATGAGAAAAACTGATTCAGACTTTGAGCAATTTGGAGTTAAAACAGCCTCTTGAAATGAATTAAATTTGAAGCATGAGGTATTTATTTATTTATTAATTTTCACATTTAATTTACATAATTGGGACAAGTTCATAATACTTTAATTGAATTGTGGAGGTAGTCAGAGAGAACAGTTTGCTAATGTGTGCTTAAATTTAAAGTTATTGAATACTTTAAATTTTAAACAAATGTTAGTTTAATGTAAAATGGATTTCTACATTACAGAGTTTAAAAAAATAAAGCAAAAATGTAATGTTATCTTTAGTTTCAATTTCATTATTATTTTGAATTAAATTTAATTCAAAAATTATTGTAATTATTAGTTAATATTAGTATAAGATAGCAATCTGCCTACCTTCAGAAAAAATTATTTTAATTTAATTACTAGCCAAACCATAGTCCAAATAATCCAGAAAATATGATCATTATGGAATGTATGGGGTTGGTTATTTATGTATATCTACAATAATTTGTTAATAGAGCAATATTTTAATATGCGAGATGCCAACTTTTAAACTGCATACTAGTCATTATCTCACTTTCAATAGCCACCCCAGTGTGTGGAATATACAGTAGTGTGGGTTATACAAAAATTTTATTTTTGTTCTTACAATTTTCTGTGGGGTATATGTTATCTGCACAAAATTATGGTAATAGTTTTAATTATTTTTAAGTTGGTGTGTAAACATTATTATTATAATAAAATTTATAAGACATTTATGTATACACAACATTAAAATAAACCAAAATAAAGGTTAGAAGCAAATGTCAAAAAATGTTAACAATAATACAGAAGTAACTTGTTATGCCAGATACGTCAAGATGTTCTCTGTACAATTCTCCATCATATGCAAGAAGTCATGACTCAATTGCAAGGTCCCCAAGAAAGTACTGCTTTTGCTCCCCCCATTGAGGTGAATGTGCACCTCCTCCATATAAATATTAACAATTTTTTAAAGCACATTTTTTATCAGAGAAATCACTCTACTAACTCAGGCTTTCATAAGCTAAGATAACTTTCACTCCCTATTAGCAGGGGTTTATTGTATTTTCCTATGATATTTAATATATGGATGCTTCTAAGGTATATTTGGAGGAAAATATACCATATGAAGTTGGGTCCTAATGTCATTATTTTAAGAGCTACAACTTTTCAAAAAAAAAAAAAAAAAAAGGAAATAATTTAGTATGCATTTTGATAAGCTGTAAATATCAACATGTTTTTCAAAACAAGTTTATTAAACAAAGCAGCAACGTAACACTGGTTTTACAGAAAGTATTTGCAAGATCCTCCTCAACGTTAGTGCACTTTTCAGCACATGTATGTACTGTACACATAGCAGAAAGGTGTAATTTTATAATTACTAATGAGATATCATGTATCTATTATGATAAAATGCTGTTTTTCTTACATTTAAACTGTAATACCATTGAATATATGATACTATGCTATAATAAATATATTATAGCATGGTATCATATATTTAATGGTATTTGATGGAATATATTCAATGGTATACCATTGAACATATATATGACCCATATTATAGAATCAGCTTCCTAAGTCCTGTTGATACATTCTGAATCACCCTATATAATTCAAGTCATCTTAGGATGTTACAAACAATTGATTAAAATTTAGTGGAATTATAATTTTAAGAAAAAAAATTGCAATTTTCATAATATCAAACTAAATTTAATATTGTTTTTAATCAAAATATTTAATTTTCATTATGCTAAATGGTTTCATAAATTTTTGTAAAATTATATTTTACATAACTGCAACAAATGCAAAATTTTTGCTCATTTTTTTCTAAAATAATCCCCACATATCATGTTTAAATTAAATATCTATTTTCAAATTATCAAATTCTTACCCCCATTTTTAAGTCTACTGTAAACCAATTGGGAACATAAACCATTTTAAACCTTTTTTTGATTTCTGCTTCAAAATCGACTTGCCCTAAGTCTTCAACTTTACAAGCCTATTTAATAAAAAAAAATAAATAAATATATTTTAAGAATTCAGATAAATGTAAAGTAATAAAAAATTTTTAAAAATATATTATTATTATTTTTTCCACACCTTTAGAACATCCCATAAAACAACATGATTCTCAGTATCTTTTGTTAGAATGTGCCGTTTGTCATTTAGAACGTGATAATGCCTGATACTAGGATTTCCTGAATAATTATTAAATTTTCTTTTAGTTAACTTAAGATACAAAAGTTAATAGTAATAATATGATTAATTAATATTTTAAAGGAACAAAAAGGAAGTGAAACTATGAAGTCTAAATTAAGAACAATGAATCCCCATAAAGCCAGCAATATTTTTTTCAATTATAAATTCTAGATGAACTTTTCACTGTAAACCAATTCATGATTTGCAAAATGCTATCTTTATTCATTAAAGCTCACAAACTATAAGATAATTGCAATAATATGTAATTCAAGCTTCTACCACGTTTCTTTGGTTGTTAAATATGACACCACTCAAAGAACTGAATGTGATACTGTCAACATAAATATAGAACAAAATATTGAATTTGAAAGAACTACTATTCTATTGGTCAGAGACAAGTGTATCATCAATGATGTCAATTTGATGGGCATATTTTTATTAATATAACATTAATAAATCTGTCAAAAATGTTCATTTAGTTTATTAAGGTTTGTTCTTGCTGGATTTTTTGGTTTCATTGTGTTCTTCAGTCGTTATTTATATTATTGAATGTTGCTACTTTATGTAAATAATATAAATTGAAAATTTAAGCAATAACTGAAGAGTAACAGAATACAAAATGGATATTGTTACAATGGTTTTGCAGCTGATAAGAAAGTTCATCTAGAATTCTTGAATCTAGAAACTAAATTAATCTAGAATTTATACTTTTTAAAAAAGAAACAGCATGGTTCCAGTAAACAAGCCAACAATATTTTCTTAAAATGATTCATATACAGTCATGTGCCACTTAATGATGGACTGCATTTATGACAGAGGTTATGTGAGATTATAATGAAGTTGAAAAATTGGTAGCTCTCAGTACCTTCAGATACATAAAGACTTACCATTGTGTTACAATTGTTTCACATATAACCTATATAAGTAGTTGACTACACCAGTGTTTTTCAACCTTTTTCTCATCACAGACTGGTAAAATTATGGATAATTTTATGTGGACAGAATTATTATATATGACTATGAATTATGCTTGTTTATTAAGTGTAAATATGCTTATCTAGAGTTACTATATGTAACAAAACAAGTACAATAACTCTACATTACTATTTAAATGTCACCTGTAATCAACTGCTTCAGGGTCAGTACAGTAGGGTGAAACATTTTCTGCAAACTGGTGAAGTTTTTTCATGGACTGTCACTGATCCATGAACCAATGGTTGAAAAACATTGGACAATACCATGTAAACTTTGTCTAAGTACAATCTATGATGTTTGCTTAAGGACATAAGAGTTGGACAAAATAATGTAAACACCAGTGATATTACGCTGAATGTTTATTAACATGAGATTGAATCACCTTTTGATTGTATTACAGCATTTGTCCAACATGAAATAAATATTATGAATAGTGTCCAGAGAAATGTGTTCCCAGTCTTTATGAAAAATGGACTCAAATTTCAAATGTGTCTGTGGAGGAGGAAATCTGCTATGCACCTCAGCCTCCAAGATTCTCCACAATGGTTCAATGAGGTTAAGATAAAGTGATTGTGGAAGTTGAGGAATGTGTTGAGCTTCATCCTAATGTTCATCAAATCATAACTGGACACATTTGGAAATATAAAATGGTAACTTATTGTCTTGGAACACTATATCTCTAGTTGGAAACCATGAAATGAAGTTTATCACTCAAAAATTCAATATAATTTTGTGCTATGATCTTTTCTTTGAGTGTTACACTAGGTCCTGGTTAATGCTAAGATATTGCTGCCCAAATATTACAGAGTCACAAGTGTTTACATAATTTTGTTCAATCCTTACATTTCTCAGGATGTATTTGCATTGTTAATTAACAGTACCACATCCCTGTATAGCATATATAAAACCAAATTCCAAACATTTATTCAGATAAATGTCTTCAAGAACAAACACAAAATTTGAATTTAACTCAAATTCAAACTAAAATCAGATTTAATCTAGAAAACATTCATCGGAATAAAATTAGAGTGCTTGAAATCTGGATTTATATATATTCTTTATGAATTATTTCAAGAAAATACTAGTAATCTCATAGAATTTATTGTCCTTATTATATAATATGATGAGTTAATTTTGAATATATTTCTGGTTTTATTTAAAATACAAATTTCTTAGTGTTTCTAAATAACAAACATATAAAGATAATACAAAATACTTTATTTCATTTAAATATAAAATCAAACGTTATTAGGAACTACATCACATCATTTTCTATAATATATTATTTTTTGTGTTTATTTACCTCTAATAACTACATCTGGATGCTGAATGAGAGGAGGTAAAGCATCAGTGTCATAGTCGTCATATTGAGAGCTTCGATTATTAATCGGCTGTAAGAAATTTTATCTTAAAGTATCTGTATTTAATAAAATTTACAACCTAAAACTATATAACATACCCAATTTTTGATGCAAGAATCTGTAGTTGCAACCCACAGAGAAGAATGATCGGGTGTTAAAATCATCTGCAAAGTAAGTAAATAAATCATTACAATTCATAAAAATCAATTAAGTTATATTTAAGGTAATATAATTTTAACATACAATAATAGAAATATTAAAAAATATATTTCCACCTTTAATACTGGTGCAGTTTCTTCACATATTAGAATTCTATTTTCAGAATTCCGTAGATCCGTCATGAAAATTTTCCTATCTCTTCCACCAGAAAAAACAGTTGTGAAATTCTCATTTGCCTTTACGTAAAAAAAAAAAAAAAAACATTAAAATTTCTTATTTATTTTACAATAATTTAATTTATTTTAAAATATTTTCTAAATAAATTATATGCAAATTTGAAAAATGTTTACTAGTTAAAGGAATTTGAAATTCCTCTTCTCAAACAAACAATTATTTTTTATTCTAAAACTAATTGTTTTTTAAGTCACTAAAAAATAATATGATATCTATAATGTTAAAGAATAGATAAAAATATTTTTATAACAAAACAATACAATTTACAATTAAAATTAATCACCATTACTTGTGTACATGGTCAAAACTTTGATATAACACCCTCCCTATATAGCACCAATTAATACCTGTGTACAGATCTTCCTCGTTATATTAAAGAGAGAACCATTTAGTCTTGTTAATTCTAAAGCTAGAAATATTTTCTAAATGCTAAAATTCACACCTTCCTCTCCTTTTCCAGCAATTCACTGATTAAAAACGACATCTGTTTCTGAAAGAAAGTCTCTTCAAAAATCGATTCTGAAATGATATTGAGAGCATCTTTCTATCTCTGTTCTTCATTCATGTAGTACTCCCAGGTTTTCCATTTTTTAATAGCCGTGACACAAAAGACTGATTACGAAATTACATTTCATTTTTTATCAGTGAATTGCTGGAAAGTGAGAAGAAGGTGTAACTTTTAGTATTTAGAATCATTTATTGTATTTGTGAATTACTGAATGTGTGATTTTTGCAGTGTTATCACCAAATCATATGACATTCAAATTCTCAAATGCAGTGTAGACTGTATTACTATATACAATTACTTTTGTTTGAGGTACATCAGTCAGCACAAAAATTCATTTAGTGCCAATTTCAGAGGTGAACAAATGGTGCAATTCAAATTTTTTATTTAAAATTTTAAAGCAGCTTTTTTTAGGTACTCATATCTTAACTATAACAGATTTATAAATAATTGTTCTCATTCTCACTAATTACAGATTTTTTAAGAAAATAAGTATTTAAACACATTCAGGATCTAGTTTGCTTCTTTTCTTGTCAAACAACAGCTGTCTGTACATAATGTATTTTACACACGCTCTTATAGATGGGGCAAAATTGGCAGTACATTCATCAAAATTGCTAATTTTAAAAAATATTTATAGTAGCAGAATCATTTTTTATTTTTAATAATGTTTACTATAGAAAATGTTAATGAATAATTACTGCATTACTACATTGACACAGCAGGACAGTGCTTTTATAAGCCAAAACAAGCTGACAAACACAAGAGCATGCTCTTATTTGAGCAGAAACACAGTATGGCATGATATTGTTAGGTAACTGTAGTATTCAAATTTATTTTTATTGGTGTTTTCTTCAAGTATTTGTGGTCAGTACTCCTTAACTTCATACAGTGGGTGATCGGTTAACAAACAAATCGGATAACGAACACTTTCGCGAAAGATTTTTATGATCGGACAACGAACACATGTTCGGATAACGAACACTTGACTGAACAAACACAAAAAGAAGAGACGTAAAATAATGAATACCGATTGGTCTTCCTTTGTCTTCAGGCAACAATTCAAAACTTTTCGGAGCGCGGGAGACGTCAACATCGACGTTCTACCCAGTATATACTGATAGGATAGTATTCTCCCGAACTTTGAAACTCTCCCTTGTAATTCCAGCTTTTTATATTTCTGACAGAAACAATTCTTTTACATTTTCTTATGAAAATGCGGATATATGCCGATATCTGCTATTAAAGATCTTTTAAAGAAGTGGGAGGACGTTGTTCTGACAGAACAACGGTCTTAAAATGGCATCCAAACCAGGTTGAGGTTAATAGGCCTAGGGTTCTCTACAATTACAATGCTATTAATTACTTCTGAAAAATCATAAAGAAGACAGAAAAGCAATCGACATTGGACAGATTCTTTAATTAATTAATTAACCCCCACAAACGGAAAAAACATGACTAATAAAAATGCAAGACCGTGTATATATGTATTTTTATTATTACATATAAATAAACGTAATAAGAAAGTATAGTCTATATTTTTTATTTTTTGGAGGTCTCCAGAACGAATTAATCAAATTCCCATAGAAACCTATGGTAAATCGATAATTGGTTAATGAACAATTCGGATAATGAACAAAGTCTTGGAACGGATTATGTTCGTTACCGATCACCCACTGTAATTTAAAAACAAATTTTTTTTTTTGTATATGAATTATATTCAAAAGGTACATTATGAATTAAGTTCATAACAACGATCTGATATAAATGATAATTGTATAAGATTACTGTTTTCAAATTTTAAAACTATATTTACTTGAAGTGCCCAGACTCCTTCTTCATGTACTCTTATGGTAGCCACACATCTTTGCTGTCCTAAGGACCATAACCTTATAGTTCCATCAGAACTCCCCGAAAGACACTTTAAAGATAAAAATTCTAAATTATCATCATTGAAATTTAACATTTTGCCATTAAATATAATGTATAAAAGTAAAGCGCACACGAGATAAAAGTGTTATGTCACACTTTTAAAATATTATATTAGATAAATAACTTAAAAAATTCTAATCTATTTGCTCTAAAAGAATTCTCTAAAAATATTTTAAAATAAATAAGACTTTATATGTTAGTAGGGCAAAATTACTTACCTTAACATTAACAAAGTTGTACTTGCAATTAATTTTAATTTATATTTTCGATTTATTATACTAATTAATATAATATATCGACATATAACAATATATAATCGATATATAATATATAACAAAAGTAAAACATTTGAATGAATATAATAAAAATACGGTAAAATTATTACTGTTTACTCGTATATTATTTACGAACATTATACAAAATAACATAATACAAATGTTGAATAGTATAGCATAAAAACTAATAATTGAGCAAGAGTAAAACAAAAAATATTAACATCCTGCATCAATGAATTTAAATATTTATAAGAAATTAGAAAGTGTTACACTGAGAAAACGTCAAACAGTAGATACATGTTAACTTGATAAACTAACCATTTAATTAATATCCAGCATTTAATTTTAGCATGTTTTCTGGCTAATTTAATTAGCCATCGTCAGGTCATATACATATATATATATATCAACTACCAATCTTGATAATAGTTACTTAAATTATCTGAAAACATTTGTTCATGCTAAGTTAAATGCTGAATATTAAAGATGTAGTTTCTCAAGTTAACTTCATCTTTCATTAGATATACATTAAACCAGAGTAAATGTGTGCATTCACCCTTGTAGACTAAAAATTTTTTGTTTGAATGAAATATTATTTTTTTTAATTTTGTATGCTATATTTTAAGATAAAACTTAATAAATTGAATTGAATTTTATGAATCTAATTTTAGTTTTTATTTTCATATTAGTTTAATATAGAACAATTAATTATATCATTAAAACAATGTTACAATTAGATAAACATCAATGCTTACTAAATATTATATAAAAAATTCTGAGATAGAGCTAAAATAATTACCTTAATTAATTAACAATTTACAAAATTAGGCTACAGATAGGTGTTGCCACCCAGTAGAAAGCAGTCATTTCTCTTACCTTGATGGCAATTTAATTATTTAAATTTCCATCAAGGTAAGAGAAATGACAGCTTTAATAATTATTTTAATTCATTTATTTAATGACTGAAAATTTCTTCAAATTTCATTTTATTCCTCAATTTATATAAATAATTATACTTTAAGAAATTAAGTTTTTTTTTAAATTTCATTAATATTCTAATTAAATTAAATGTGTGTTATCAAAAACTAACCTGTGATCCATCCCTGTTCAAAATAAGAGCCTTTACATTATCAGTATGACCTTTTAGTTTCATAAGTTTTTGACACGTTCGGGGATCCCACACTCTTACAACTTTTTCAGTTGAACCTGAAACTATGACAGACCCAGAAGGATTCATAGCAAGACTGTATATGCTATCTTTATTACCCATTAATGAGGAAGCTGTTACAAATATATTAACATACATATATTCTTTAATAATAAAAATTTACATTAGCCAATCATCAGAAAATTTAGATGCTTACTTGTTACAGTGTTATTAGAAGCTGTTAATGCTGTCAAAGTATTTACATCCCAGAGAAAAATAGCACGATCTAAACCAGCAGATGCTACTTGTTCCCTATCTTTGGCATATGCTAAAGCTTTTACATAATCCTTCGTAAAGAAAAATAAAATTAAGTAGATTTTCCTAATGGTAAAAGTATGTACAAAAATATTCTAGGAACTTACTTTGTGTGTTCTTAATGTTGACATGCAAAATCCTTTATGTGCATTCCATACTTTGACTGTGGTATCACTAGAAGCTGAAATTACTTTTAAAAAAATATATAACTTATTACATTTGTATGAAAATTTTAATGAACAAGTATAAATATATAAAACTTACAATTTTTTCCACCACAACAAAGAACAATATCATTTACCCAATCAGTATGGTGTTCCATAGACTGTAGATATGGTTCCTATAGTAAGAAAATAAATATTTAAACATTAGAAAATACTAATTCATAACAATAGGAAATATATCTTTAAAATAATTCACTCTTTCTATATATATATAAACAAAAATTGTACAAATAATTCTAAAGTAAACATAATATCCAAAATGAGAGCTATTACTACCTGAGCTAGTTTTAATATATTGTGTGCACACAAATTCATACAATATACTGGGTATTCTCCCTTTAAATGTCCCTAATTTTAAACTGTTCTGTAAAACCAATTTGTTCAATATGTGAATAAAATGTGTTGCAGAATGTTGGTAAATACTCCAAGTTGTACATGGAAGTTTGTGCTTGAAAGGGCCGCTATGGCTGAATAGTGGTGATCTGGATCTCTGAGCCAGCCTATTAGAAGTAACACTGTTAATGCCATCTGCAATTCTTATACACAAGACTCTTATGTCTGACACTTTTGTAGCATACACATGATTTTTGACATCACCACAAAGGAAAAAATTCAAAGAAATGATGTCAGGTGATTAGTGGAACAAGAAATGAAATCCTGTAATTTAGACCATGTTGCAGCAGCAGCAGCTTTTTCAAGTGTATGAACATTAAACTTTGAGTATTGACCAACAATCTCCAATACATTTTACTCACATATCTGAACAAATAAGTTTTACAGATCAGTTTAAAACTAGGGACATTCAAGGGAAACATATTTAAACTTGTATATTTAAACTAAAGAAAACATATTTTAGTTCTTTAAATTTTGATGACAAAAATACATATAAATGTTACCATTTTTCTGTAATTAAGAAAAAGTAGTGTTGTATAATAAAAAAAAATTATGATATGATTTATTAAACTAAATTTTTAACTCAGTTTACATATACTAATAGAAAAATATTGTAATTTATTTAAAATTTTAATTAGAATTGTATAAATAAATAATATGTTATCAACATATATAAATAAATACACATCAATAATAATTGAAATAGAAGACTTAAAATGTGAAAGGAACTAAATTTAATAGATATTTTCTGTGAAAGTAAAACTTTAAACCAGTGTTTTTCAACCTTCTTGAATACACGACCCCTTTACAAGTTAGAAAATTCTGGCAACCCCCCAGGGCCATATTAAAACTGTATCAGTGATTTTAAAAACTACGTATTTAACATTCTTTCTGTTGAGACCTAAATATCGACCGAAAAACCAATTGTACTGTAAAATAAACAGGTACCACCTTCTCACTGAAATTGTAGTGTAGGACCTACAAACACTTGTCTTTTTCTTTACCTGCGACCCCCATGTAAGGCTTTGTGACCCCCCCTGGTGGTCACGACCCACAGGTTGAAAAACACTGCTTTAAACTGATGTTTTATTGTAATGTATTTATACAGACTCCACATCTGAATAAAGTTTTTGAAATATTAAATAAATTACTTTAATCAATAATTAATTAAGAATATATTGTGCACATTCTCTTGTGAGCCTGGTCAATCAATCAGATTTATGGAAAATGCTCATCTTGACGGACTTTATTGGGTCAAAGCAGCTCATAATAAAGAATGCCTTTATGACTGCACTAAACATATAACATTATCTTTTTTGGATTAATTGAACTTTTGGCATTGCTAAGATAGCTCTTCATGATGTATATTAAAGCTTTTTCATATACCATTAGAAGAGAAGCCATTTCTTGCCTTCAGTTATCAGCAGAATACAGGAGAGCGTCGTTTATCTGAATCAATCGGGAACTGGGGTTGTTCGGATAACTTATTTTTTGGATAACCGATTATGTACGAAAAAATATATTAACCTATCCCATGCTGCAATTTTTCTCTGTTGCATGTCGCTTCGCATTGAATTTTCGTTGATGTAGCCTAAACTAAATAACTAAGCAAGCCTAACGTAAACTTTTTAAAATAACAATCATGGCTATTGTATTGCTAAAAATTATCTTTTTATTTTGTACAAACAAAATTAATTTATTGAAAAATATAAAAACAAAAAAAAAAAAAAATATACTTTAGAAGTTGATCTAGTATCAAAAATGTTTGATTCAGCATGACACTTCTCAGAAAAACACCACACAAAAATGCCAGTGCTGCCAGCTAAAACACACACACCAACAAAAAAAATATTGGAGTAGCCCAAGATATAGCCAAAGATTGCAATGCCACAGCACGAGTGAAAATTTAAATTTGCCGACTGGAATGCTTTCGGATAAACGACGTTCTACTGTAAAATCATTTTTATTTTTTAATGTGGCTAAAATGAAATGCACTTAATTAATGATCCAATATATTTCAGTTTGATAGAAGTGTGATATCTACAAATTGCATTTGTTCACAAATCTGCAAGTTTCCAAACAGTATTTTTTCCTCTTTTTATCTAGCATTACTCAATCAACAACACACAATCCTGTGAAGAAGCAAAAAAAGGTTTATCAAATTAAAAAAAGCTAATGTTTTCAGTAATATTTAATGACCTTCATCTGGTTAATGTTCCCAAAAATCAAACATATTCATATACTAATGAAAACAGAACATGTGAATGATTAACACAGTTCACATAAAAAATTCTAGGACACGCACAAAAACCAAGAAATAATAATAAAATGTAAGTTTCATTATGTTGTGTAGACCTCAAACCAGGATTTCCAAGCATTCAAATTAATGTTTAGGAATAATAATTATCACCTGCACATCGGATTTAACTAAATAACACATACCTCAGAAAAACCTTTAACCGATGCTAAATAAAATTTAACAGTACAAACGTTTTCAGACCCCTCCTGGGTCCTTCTTCAGGTAAAAATCGTTTGAAAATTTACTAAATACGAAAAATATTCGTTTGGAACGATTTTTTAAAATCGAAAAGATAGAATGGAATCACGTGACCTATAGCTCTGAACATCACAGGTCACAGAGCTATAGGTCACGTGATTCCATTCTATCTTTTCGATTTTAAAAAATCGTTCCAAACGAATATTTTTTGTATTTAGTAAATTTTCAAACGATTTTTACCTGAAGAAGGACCCAGGAGGGGTCTGAAANAAGAATAGATAAAAATATTTTTATAACAAAACAATACAATTTACAATTAAAATTAATCACCATTACTTGTGTACATGGTCAAAACTTTGATATAACACCCTCCCTATATAGCACCAATTAATACCTGTGTACAGATCTTCCTCGTTATATTAAAGAGAGAACCATTTAGTCTTGTTAATTCTAAAGCTAGAAATATTTTCTAAATGCTAAAATTCACACCTTCCTCTCCTTTTCCAGCAATTCACTGATTAAAAACGACATCTGTTTCTGAAAGAAAGTCTCTTCAAAAATCGATTCTGAAATGATATTGAGAGCATCTTTCTATCTCTGTTCTTCATTCATGTAGTACTCCCAGGTTTTCCATTTTTTAATAGCCGTGACACAAAAGACTGATTACGAAATTACATTTCATTTTTTATCAGTGAATTGCTGGAAAGTGAGAAGAAGGTGTAACTTTTAGTATTTAGAATCATTTATTGTATTTGTGAATTACTGAATGTGTGATTTTTGCAGTGTTATCACCAAATCATATGACATTCAAATTCTCAAATGCAGTGTAGACTGTATTACTATATACAATTACTTTTGTTTGAGGTACATCAGTCAGCACAAAAATTCATTTAGTGCCAATTTCAGAGGTGAACAAATGGTGCAATTCAAATTTTTTATTTAAAATTTTAAAGCAGCTTTTTTTAGGTACTCATATCTTAACTATAACAGATTTATAAATAATTGTTCTCATTCTCACTAATTACAGATTTTTTAAGAAAATAAGTATTTAAACACATTCAGGATCTAGTTTGCTTCTTTTCTTGTCAAACAACAGCTGTCTGTACATAATGTATTTTACACACGCTCTTATAGATGGGGCAAAATTGGCAGTACATTCATCAAAATTGCTAATTTTAAAAAATATTTATAGTAGCAGAATCATTTTTTATTTTTAATAATGTTTACTATAGAAAATGTTAATGAATAATTACTGCATTACTACATTGACACAGCAGGACAGTGCTTTTATAAGCCAAAACAAGCTGACAAACACAAGAGCATGCTCTTATTTGAGCAGAAACACAGTATGGCATGATATTGTTAGGTAACTGTAGTATTCAAATTTATTTTTATTGGTGTTTTCTTCAAGTATTTGTGGTCAGTACTCCTTAACTTCATACAGTGGGTGATCGGTTAACAAACAAATCGGATAACGAACACTTTCGCGAAAGATTTTTATGATCGGACAACGAACACATGTTCGGATAACGAACACTTGACTGAACAAACACAAAAAGAAGAGACGTAAAATAATGAATACCGATTGGTCTTCCTTTGTCTTCAGGCAACAATTCAAAACTTTTCGGAGCGCGGGAGACGTCAACATCGACGTTCTACCCAGTATATACTGATAGGATAGTATTCTCCCGAACTTTGAAACTCTCCCTTGTAATTCCAGCTTTTTATATTTCTGACAGAAACAATTCTTTTACATTTTCTTATGAAAATGCGGATTTATGCCGATATCTGCTATTAAAGATCTTTTAAAGAAGTGGGAGGACGTTGTTCTGACAGAACAACGGTCTTAAAATGGCATCCAAACCAGGTTGAGGNAATCTGAAACAGCTAAGACTAAGGTTACCAGTAAGTTGTGAATTTGTGAAAAAGAAGCAAATTGATGCGCATTTCAGTTTTGAATGACAAAATATTGGTGGTAGTTGTATTGTGTAAACTAGCTTTTATGTATTCAATATTATTGGATTTTCAAGGAAGTTAATTACAATCAGATTTAAAATTAGCATAATACTGATGAAGTATATATATATATATATATTCAACATCCTGAAGCCTGATATATTGATACTAATCCAAACTTTCACTGTAATTAATTCGGCTATTATTATGCTATAATTAATAATAACTAAGTAATTTGGTACTATGTTAGGCACCATCTCCTATACAAAT